GTATTAATTTCATCAACACAAGACAGAACAAGAGTATTAATAGGGTATTAATTTCATCAACACAAGACAGAACACGAAACAATGGATATTGAATAGAAGTGTTTGTAGAAAGCCTATTGGTCCATATTTCTTGATGCTTCTATATTGGAGCGGAGTCTTGAGGTGGGTAGAATATAGTTGTGCAATAATTGGCTGTTGATTGCTGGTGTTGACTTCTTGATGTGTAGTGCCTCGCAAACGTCAAGCCGCCTGCTATCGCTGTATCTATCGATGATTTCTGTGTTGTTTACTAGGATTTCTCTGGCGATGGTTTGGTTGTGGGAAGAGATTATATGTTCCTTAATGGAGCCCTGTTGTTTATGCATCGTTAAACGCCTAGAAAGAGATGTTGTTGTCTTGCCTATATACTGGATTTTTTGGAGCTTACAGTCCCCAAGTGGGCATTTGAAGGCATAGACGACGTTAGTCTCTTTTAAAGCGTTCTGTTTTGTGTCTGGAGAGTTTCTCATGAGTAGGCTGGCCGTTTTTCTGGTTTTATAGTAAATCGTCAGTTGTATCCTCTGATTTTTGTCTGTAGGGATAACGTTTCTATTAACAATATCTTTCAGGACCCTTTCCTCCGTTTTATGAGCTGTGGAAAAGAAGTTCCTGTAAAATAGTCTAATAGGGGGTATAGGTGTTGTGTTAGTTGTCTCTTCAGAGGTTGCATGGCTTTTCACTTTCCTTCTTATGATGTCTTCGACGAAACCATTGGAGAAGCCGTTATTGACTAGGACCTGCCTAACCCTACAGAGTTCTTCGTCGACTTGCTTCCATTCTGAGCTGTGGCTGAGAGCACGGTCGACATATGCGTTAACAACACTCCTCTTGTACCTGTCTGGGCAGTCGCTGTTGGCATTTAGGCACATTCCTATGTTTGTTTCCTTAGTGTAGACTGCAGTGTGGAAACCTCCGCCCTTTTCCATGACTGTTACATCTAGAAAGGGCAGCTTCCCATCCTTTTCCATCTCGTAAGTGAAACGCAGCACGGAACTCTGCTCAAATGCCTCCTTCAGCTCCTGCAGATGTCTGACATCAGGTACCTGTATAAAAATGTCGTCAACATACCTGCAGTATATGGCCGGTTTCAAGTTCATGTCGACTAAGACTAATTGCTCGATGGTACCCATGTAGAAGTTTGCAAACAGGACACCTAGGGGAGAACCCATGGCGACCCCATCTACTTGCTTATACATGTGCCCATCCGGGCTCAAGAAGGGTGCCTCTTTAGTACAAGCTTGGAGTAGTTTCCTCAGAATATTTTCTGGTATGTCAAGAGGAGTACAGGCTGGATCACGATACACTCTGTCGGCTATCATTCCGATTGTCTCGTCCTCAGGTACGTTGGTAAACAGCGATTCTACGTCCAACGAGGCTCTTATCCCTGTGGCCCGTGTGCCCCGCATTAAGTCAACAAATTCCTTTGGAGACTTCAGGCTGAAGGCGCAAGGAACATAAGGAGTCAGCAGGCCGTTGAGTCGCTTCGCCAGTCTGTACGTGGGTGTGGGTATCTGGCTAATGATTGGCCGAAGTGGGTTTCCAGGCTTGTGCGTCTTGACATTTCCATACGCATATCCAGGTTTATATTCCTCAATGATCTTTGGCAGGTGGAGTCCGGATTTCTTGGCGTTCACTGATCGAAACTGTGAACGCCAAGAAATCCGGACTCCACCTGCCAAAGATCATTGGGGAATATAAACCTGGATATGGGTATGGAAATGTCAAGACGCACAAGCCTGGAAACCCACTTCGGCCAATCATTAGCCAGATACCCACACCCACGTACAGACTGGCGAAGCGACTCAACGGCCTGCTGACTCCTTATGTTCCTTGCGCCTTCAGCCTGAAGTCTCCAAAGGAATTTGTTGACTTAATGCGGGGCACACGGGCCACAGGGATAAGAGCCTCGTTGGACGTAGAATCGCTGTTTACCAACGTACCTGTGGACGAGACAATCGGAATGATAGCCGACAGAGTGTATCGTGATCCAGCCTGTACTCCTCTTGACATACCAGAAAATATTCTGAGGAAACTACTCCAAGCTTGTACTAAAGAGGCACCCTTCTTGAGCCCGGATGGGCACATGTATAAGCAAGTAGATGGGGTCGCCATGGGTTCTCCCCTAGGTGTCCTGTTTGCAAACTTCTACATGGGTACCATCGAGCAAAAAGTCTTAGTCGACATGAACTTGAAACCGGCCATATACTGCAGGTATGTTGACGACATTTTTACACAGGTACCTGATGTCAGACATCTGCAGGAGCTGAAGGAGGCATTTGAGCAGAGTTCCGTGCTGCGTTTCACTTACGAGATGGAAAAGGATGGGAAGCTGCCCTTTCTAGATGTAACAGTCATGGAAAAGGGCAGAGGTTTCCACACTGCAGTCTACACTAAGGAAACAAACATAGGAATGTGCCTAAATGCCAACAGCGACTGCCCAGACAGGTACAAGAGGAGTGTTGTTAACGCATATGTCGACCGTGCTCTCAGCCACAGCTCAGAATGGAAGCAAGTCGACGAAGAACTCTGTAGGGTAAGGCAGGTCCTAGTCAATAACGGCTTCTCCAATGGTTTCGTCGAAGACATCATAAGAAGGAAAGTGAAAAGCCATGCAACCTCTGAAGAGACAACTAACACAACACCTATACCCCCTATTAGACTATTTTACAGGAACTTCTTTTCCACAGCTCATAAAACGGAGGAAAGGGTCCTGAAAGATATTGTTAGTAGAAACGTTATCTCTACAGACAAAAATCAGAGGATACAACTGACGATTTACTATAAAACCAGAAAAACGGCCAGCCTACTCATGAGAAACTCTCCAGACACAAAACAGAACGCTTTAAAAGAGACTAACGTCGTCTATGCCTTCAAATGCCCACTTGGGGACTGTAAGCTCCAAAAAATCCAGTATATAGGCAAGACAACAACATCTCTTTCTAGGCGTTTAACGATGCATAAACAACAGGGCTCCATTAAGGAACATATAATCTCTTCCCACAACCAAACCATCGCCAGAGAAATCCTAGTAAACAACACAGAAATCATCGATAGATACAGCGATAGCAGGCGGCTTGACGTTTGCGAGGCACTACACATCAAGAAGTCAACACCAGCAATCAACAGCCAATTATTGCACAACTATATTCTACCCACCTCAAGACTCCGCTCCAATATAGAAGCATCAAGAAATATGGACCAATAGGCTTTCTACAAACACTTCTATTCAATATCCATTGTTTCGTGTTCTGTCTTGTGTTGATGAAATTAATACCCTATTAATACCACATTTTGTTCTGTCTTGTGTTAATGCCACATCACCCCTTCCACCTCACTCAAATGTAGATATAAAATCGGAGATACGTAAGTTCTATTCAGTTGTGTATTTGTGAACTAAAGTCTTTGAAAATGTAATAAGTTTTACGAAACGCGCCCGTGTCGCGTCAGACTAGAAATAAAAATGAATTTTGGAGAATTGATTTTTGATTTACCTCCAACAGTGAAGCGTAATGTACGAAAGATTGAGAAAATTCGTGTTAGAATTATTAATCTTACTTTTTCGGTCATATATAATAATATATGTATATATATATATATATATATATATATATATATATATATATATATATATATATATATATATATATATACATTCTATTGTATGACAATCAAAACTGAACTGCATAATCTAAATGGGGCCTAACAAGAGCAAAATATAGCTGAAAAATGACACCTGGTGTTTTATTACTAATGCTTCAAGACATAAATCCCAATGTCCTATTTATTTTATTATGAACATTTTTGCATTTATTTTTTTGGTTTAAAATTATTACTAATCATAACTCCCGACTATATTTGGAATCCGACTTTTCAATCTCAACATCATCTAGCTCGTATCTTTTAACTCTATCATCATTACCTAGCCTTAAAATCTTACATTTGTCAGCATTAAACTGCATTTGCCAATCTTTTGACCATTTCAAAAGCCCTATTTAGATCGTCTTGAAGTGGTAGTGATTCTTTTTACGTGTTTATTTCCCTCCCGATTTGTGTATCATCGGCAAATTTGCAAATATTGCTGCTCAAACCTGAAACTAAATCATTTATATATATATTATGAATAATAGAGGTTCGATGACAAAACCTAGAGGTACTCCACATACTACATTTTCCCAATCTGACTTAATTCCATTTATACTAACTCTTTTTTTAATCCTTTGTTATAGCCAACTACGTTTATGGAGATAGTAAAACACGAGGAGCCGGTGGCCGAGCGGACCGCACGCTGTACACGTGATCCTGTGGTCCCGGGTTCGATCCCGGGCGCCAGAGAGAAACGATGGGCAGACTTTATTTCACCCTATGCTCCTGTTACCTAGCAGTAAATAGGTACATGGGAGTTAGTCAGCTGTCACGGGATGCTTCCTGCGTGTGTGTGTGTGGTGTGGAAGAAAAAAATAGTAGTAGAAACAGTTGATTGACAGTTGAGAGGCAGGTTGAAAGAGCAGAGCTCAACCCCCGCAAGTACAACTAGGTGAATACAACTAGGTGAATACATCTCAAGGGAATAATGTAGTTTAGGCTATTTCTACCCTCCCCCCTCCTCCTGCCCTAATTCAACTAAATAAAGTACCCCAATACCGTGAGCCTGTGGCATTGTATCAAAAGGGGTGACGCCGAGGAAAATAAGACTCGCGTCCCTACCAAAACAAAAAAGACACTGTATGTATGTGGCACTGTATCAAAAGCTTTGTTAAATGTCTTAGAAAGTACTTTCGAAGCTGATGACGGGTTCCATAATACACCGACGACAAACACGGTGATCTCGACACCACCTGCACTAAACATTGACCTTTGGGGCTTTCTGGATATTGTAAAGATCTCTGATTTAATTAAGAATAAAATGTAGTATCAGACACCTTTCATAACCAGCACTTACGAGACCTTTAACTTGAACTGACCTCGGATCTGATTATAGTCGGGAAGTATTCTGAAGAGATAATCCAAGGCAATGGTCCAGCGCCGATACTCTGACCAAAGGCTGCCACCATCAGACACACAAGCGGCACCCACCTCCACCCTCTGGGACTTTGCAACCTAGAAATTACCCAAGATGACATCATACGTCTGGGGCTCAATTGAGACTAGATAAATATATTAAGAAAGAATGTACAATCTTTAGACAATCCATTAATATCTCATCACTCACCTTACATCACTTTGGTATGATAAAAAATCACTATCTTCGGATTCATCCATATTGACTTCAACTATAGTACTCGACGTCTGGGAGTCGGAGATGAACACATGCGTGCCAAAGGAAATGTAGGCGACCATAAGTAATGTTAGTGAGAGGATCAAGCAGCGCTTACGACCCAAGCGATCCAGCAGGAACATCATGAAGATAATGCCGGCGAAAAAGACCACGTTAACCAATATGGTGCTTACGATCTTGCCAAGAGCCATACCAGAATCTCCAAGCATCCGAGCCGTGTTGGCTTTGAGGACTTGCACGCCACTGAAGTTTGATACCAGAAAGAGAGCAGACAGTGTAATGATTTTCTTTACGATATCTGGTTTAATAACAGCTCCCCAACCCACTCGGCCATCCTCTCGCTGGTTCATGCTCTTAAGAATCCTCACCTCTTCATTTATATCTGCATAGGCTCCCCTGAGACTATGGAGGATGACGAGGGCTTCAGCATCTCTGCCATTCACAGCCAGGAACGTTGGACTCTCTGGGAGCACCGTCAGTATTAAGAAAGAATGAATCAGTGTAATGATAACCGAGATGAACATTACGTAGTACCAGGTCATCAAGAGGCCCAGGGTGAGGACAAGGATACTTCCAATTATAATGAAAAGATTAGCCACAATCATTGCCGACCCTCGGATACCTGGGTCTGCTATTTCTGACACATACGTTCTCACTACCACCCCGATCATGCCGAAACTCATTCCATCAACGAATCTGAAATGCAATGCAAAATCAAAATAATGTTTCATTTGTTCATATTTTAGAACAAATTGTCCTGAACAAGTAGAAAAATAAAGAAAGCATTTTTTTTTAGGGCTCAATAATACAAAATATACTGCAAAAAGTTCCCAGTTTTGCTTGCTTGGTATCAATTAGTACAAGTCATAATGTTGTTATGAAAAAAAAACTTTTATAAATTTAATTGAAATAAATGATGTGAGCCCAGGAAAACAGACGATAAGCGCTCTGAAATACATCTCCAAATATATGAGTCAGCAATTGTTCAAGCTAAGGAAATGTGAATTAAATTAATATAGTTGCTTTCCCTGAACACATATATGCAATTATTACACAAAGGTACACCTCCAGCTAGATATAGGGGAGGGTTTAATAAGGGAAGCAACTGGATTCTCGATTGTTCAGTTGCTTGTGTATGTAGTTCTCGAATATTTTGTGCATACATGTCTTTGAATATCATTAAATTAAGGCCCTTCCTAGGTATACTTTAGGTGTTCATAAGCTGCTCCACATGAAAGAGATTTTTAATTAAATAATAAAAGAACAGCAAATTAGGAAGGCCTATCAACCAATATCTAAAGAGAACATCTGTCTATTAATTTGTCCAAGGATGGAGGCCAAATGCTTGAGGTTAGCTTCATCAAACTTTTTAAGAAGAAATAATGGTGGTATGTGACTGTCAAAGACTAGTCTGGGTCAGCCTCAGTGATCGTCTTTAAGAAAGATCAGCTCTTATTATGAATCTCAGTAATAAGTACGAAGAATAAGTATTCAGACGTGTACAATGTTGGAAATTTCCAACACTAAATACAACACTGTTGTATTCTCATTAATTATTACTAATTCTACTAATCATTGTAGTGATTAAAATTAACCAAGCGTAGAGTTCACATGTACTAATAATTACATCTGTACAATAAGGCTAGAATTCTTACGTCACCCGACGCCAGTATTGCGTCAGATTCCATTGTAATAAACACATTTATATCCAATGTGTCTGAGAATTGAATTTGATTCTGTATAAACAACGGTGTTCTGTGTGATAATTAATTACAGATAAACTGATCTCCAACTAAAGCCAAATAGAGCGTTTATAGTTATAGCTGTTATCTAGTAATAAAATTAACGTCACGTGTGAATGCCCTGGAGAGACTTTAATTCTTCTCCATTGTTCGTTTACTATCATAAAACGGGCAAATAATAATATTTAACTCCTCCAAATAATAAACCCGTCCTAACCCGAGCATTTCAAGCACAACTGCGAGAAATGATAATATCCATAATAAATAATTTGGGTAACAAACGCGGGACGCGGAGCGGGGCGGAAGAGACGCGAGTCCACGTGTTGAAGCGTTCACGAGCAGACGTGTTCACGTGGTGAAGCGCTCACGAGGAGACGCCATTACCCAGCCATCAGGGTAGACGCCATCAAATCTCTAGAAGCAAGTCGCCAATGTGAGGTGTGAAGAACCTTTGCAGACAATACCTTCACTGGTGTCAGTGTCATTTACATAACTTCTATGTAATTCCAAGTGACCGGCCAGTGAAGCGCGTTAGTATCTAGGATAGGCTAGACCGGAACCTAGGATGCGAACTTCGGCAAGCCTTAACTTACACAGTGCCCATATTAGCTAAGTACCTTGATCCTTATTTGATGCATCATATAGCGGGTGGGTTTATAGCTGGGTAGCTTGTCGTGACGCCGTGCGACAATAAAAAACTACAGGTCATTATTTTCTCTGATGTTTAATCTCGTTTTCTTGAATATAGATTTCTAGTAGTTTAATTTGTTACTACTGAAACCATTTTAATTTACAGCGTGTGTGAAGAATTCTCCGAGCTGTCATTTCCCATGTTAATCAACTCCCAGTGTTCCATGACGAGTCCAGAGGAATCAGAAGATGAGTCGTAACTAACTTCTGGGGAATCGTCATTAAGCTAAGATTCCTTTTGTATTCCTTGATTATTATCTGTACTCCTTTACATGCAGAACTCTGTTCATTGGATTAACATGTGTTTATTATACTTATTATTTCATGTTCGTAGTCTATGTTCTCTTTGAAGATAAAGATAATGACTCTATAAATATTCATAGGATTAGATTATTATACATTGGACTGGTGAACGAACCACACTAGTTCCTGGACGTAATGAGTTCCAGTAATACCCCCCGAATGTAGGTGTTTGAGGCTTTGATTCATTTAATTATACAGCCCATTAATTATTTCAGTGATCATATTCTCTAGTATTTTATCCATAGTTACTGGTTCATCTAGGAATTTTCTAATGATCATATTTTCTCAGTTTCCCTCTTTACTAGAAAAGCGGGTGGTCCTTCGTAATTGATTTTACTATATTAATATTTAAATAATTAGAGTCAAGCCCCAAATGTCCCACATACAATGCCTGAAATAAGGGTTTTGTGTACCATAGAAGTTAAACAAATTTTCAGCTGGTCATAATATTCCAACTTGCAATGTAACAACAACGTTTTTTAATAAAGCTCTTATAATGTTACATCAAAGTAACTGTTGTAAAAATAAGGTGATTATTTTATAAAATATAAATATTTAAAAAAAAAAACAGTGTATTCACTGTTACGGCCCTCTCGGGACGCAACGGGGTTCTTACTCTGATGTAGTTAGAGGAAGATATATATCCGGCCCCAAGCCAGTAGAGGCTATCAAGGGATGCGATCCGTGACGCAAGTAACTTAAAGGGAGTAGGGAAAGAAGGCTAAGAACTTAATATAGTATAATTTTCACCATCACCATTTAAATATATAGAAATAAAACGTACACAAGGGGGAGGGGTATTAACACTTTACAAAGGGGATCAACATTGTAGTCTTCTGCTGGAGACTATGGATCCTCGAAACTAGGTGCAGAGTCCGCGGTGCTTTCTTCGTGGCCTCAAGACGTGTCCTCTGAGAACGCCGAGTCTACCCTGGCCACAGGTCAGCCACAACACAGGTCCACTGGGGGCACCGTCGTGGAGGCCGTCAACCACACGTCCAGCAGGTCTGCTGGCAGGTACTGAGCCACCAAGGCTGGTACGGCCACTCCACGAACGATATAAGGGGTACGCCCTAGACAGGAGTCTCGTGTGATATCACCAATCACCCTCCTGTCCTCAATACCCCAGTGGATTATCGTCTCCAACCGTCGGTCCCGGGTAAATCCTTTCACTGCCACTCCATTGGCAGGCTTAACACACCACAGTGTTCTTCCGGGGGGACGACGTCACAACAGCTGCAGCAAACTTCACAGTATGGAGACTGGCTGCCTCGGGTAGACTGACTCCACCTTCAACACAGTGGTCCCAGGTCGGCTCTGTAAGCAGACACGTCATTAATAACCGGGACACTAATACACCACACTCACAGGCTCAGATACTAACACCTGACGTATCCAGTCCATAGATGGCGCTGTCGTCGGAGCACCACCTCACCAGAGGTCAGGAGCGGCGGTGTTGAGCGCTGAACCAGACTGGAAACTGGTCCTCGAGGCCAGTACACGCTGTCCTCACTAGGTGTCGTCGTTCGTTTGGCGGGGGTTTCGGGAGCTGACCCACAGATGGCGTGTTTGTCACTGCTCCAGGCTCGGACGTTGGATCCGGGTTCGTAACACCTCCCCACCAAAAGGAATTTGGTTTGGGGTTCTATAAAAAGCACGAACCAAATTAGCAGGGCGACACAACTCCAAATGGACTTACTTATACTATGAACTGGAGTGATGAGGCTGTCTTGTCTACTGAATTGTACTAAAGAAAATTCCTGGCACAAAGGGACCTTGAAAATGGCAGGCGATGACCTGCCTGACATAATCTTCCACACCTCCTCTGCGATGGCAAACAGGGACATCATCTCACACCTCTCGAGTAAGGATTGGTTTCGACACGATTTGGGGTGACTCGACACTTCCTTATGTCGTGGCACCGATGATGGCTGACCACAGACGGCATTTCTGGTGCCGGTCCGATGGTCCTTCAGGGAGACAGGAACCTGGAATACAGGGGTCTGATAATTCAGAGTGATCGCGACAGTGGGTAAGTCAATACTTACAGCATACCCTACTAGGTTCACACCTAGTCCCAACAGGGCTGCTTGTACGTCGCAGATGGCATTCACTCTGCCACCGTCAGGTCGACCAACGTTCCGCATAACGCTGCATTGAGGCTCAGCTATCACGCGAGGGGTGTCAACCTGTCGGAAACAGTCACTCAATTTATCACATGTCGTACCTCCTGTATCAACCATTACCTTCCAGGTCCCTTCTTCAACTGCAACACTTGCAGTACAAATCTCCAATCCCTGGGACCTCTTCACGATGTTCATGGGAGCCATCATTCTTCGGGTCGTCCACTGATCCTTACTGAGAACACTGGGAACACACATGAGCATCAAACAAAATATCGCTAAGAAACATGGGGCTAATTGAGGGATACGCTTCCTGAACTTGTCATGTTCATATCCGGCAACATCCACAAGCCTGGCTTGGACCGAAGAGGGCACTAGACCTTTTGAACACACCTCACATACCTCTGACGTCTGGGGAATCTCTGGCTGGTCCACTACACGCTGTAACTTGCCATACCGCAAGCACACATCCGCCTTCGCTCCAGACTCGTTGGTATCCGTGGGTGCCCGCACACAAGGCCTCTCTTCTTGCTCAGGTACCTCTGCCTTCTTAACTTCATGTTCCTCGTCGAGAGAATCAGGGGACACTGCTAGAATATCATCGATCTGCGGGCGAGAGGACCAATTAGACATGTTCAAATCCGGGTCTGTCTTTACCTGGACATTACCATTGCCTGTTGTCACCTCCGACCTTGCTGTTCTGGTAGACTCGTCCGCAACCTTGGGACGATTGGTGCTCCAATCGGTCACCAAGTCGTTGGCTAGTACCACGTCAATCCCAGCCACAGGGAGGGTATCGACTACTGCCAACTCACATGTGCCGCTGAAATAAGGCGAA